AAAGCCAGAAGACTTCTGATAATCTTCAAACTGTAAACAAGGTTTACAGGTTATAAAAGATTTAAAAAAATTAATCAGGAGATCACACTTTACAACAAATAGTTGCATAGAATGTTTGCTCCACCTATAAAATCATGTTTCTCTTCAGGAGAAATTGAAAGTCAAGCTGATAACTCAATGTGCTATTTCTTTTCTTTAAGGAAAAAAAACACACACAAAGAAAGAAAGAAAGAATATGAGTTTTTCTATCCTGATAATTCTACTAACATGCTACATGCATCTAGACAAACTTACTTGAAGATGGAGAGCTTTGACTTTCATAAATTATTCACACTATACAAAGGATTCCAATATCTGTTTTTTATGTTTAAATATCTTCTCATGCATACCCTGGAAGCTTCTTTCCTTAAAAATACAGTTGCTTTAGTCTAAAATGGAAACCTCAAACTTCACATTCCTCCAGTTTGTCCCCATTCTCAAGTAGTTCCTGTTAAATTTTACTTCAGCAAGGAGCAAATATTTCATGCCGAGTGGGACGTAATGCTTCCACGAGCAAGCCTGAACAAGCTCAATGCAAAAATGGCTCAATCTAATTAACCACCTCTGCAAATGCTTCAAGCAGAAAAATAGGACTTCAGCTTGTCAAACTTCTGTGGAATAACAATTTCCTCAAGTCTCAAGGAAATGTTTTCATGAATTTAATCATTTACAGGCTAACATACAGTCAGGAGTTTCCAAAATTTTAGTCTTATGCCACATACTATAATGAAGTTTTGCTAAAATTCAAGGATTTGCTTTCTAGTTTTTTGTTTGTTTGTTTTTTGCTCTGTAAGAAACTAAACATGTTGACATGGTATCGGTTAAAGACTAGTATCAAAGTGAATTACTTTGCATTGGATTAAAGCAATCTAATGACATAAACCAGTTCTATACAAAAAGAATGAAGGATAATTTTCAGAAGTGAGAAGGCATTTGGAAGACATTAAGACGACAGAAAACTATCCGAATTTTACCCTGCCACTGAGCTCCTCTAGTAGCATTACTGTACAGCTTGCCTAGAAACAAAATGAGATTTAATCCTGCAGTATGTTTTGTATGCAATTAGCTGAATGCTTTCAAATAAAGGAACTGAACTTAAGTCATTAGAAACTGTACGGATAAGAAAGAAATCCCACGGAAGATAACCTGCCATTAATGGGAATAACCACGGTGGTACAGCAGTCTTGGTGCTGAAGTGTCAAAAGAAAAATATTAACAGGTGCTACAGTACAGTACTGTTGGCCAATAATACCTTTCACCAAACAGCAATCATCATCTGTTACAATCAAGAGAACAGAAAATATTTGTTGCTATGCATCTTCTGGGATCAGTGTAACACCATCTTTTCGCTCACTCTCCAAATGTCTTAAAAAAGCATTTAATACTCTGTCTTATGCACCTGAAAAGCCAGGTTTCACTAACACCCTTTGAGACTCCAATTGTTTTTAAACACTGTTTATCAGTTCCGAAGATTATCAGAAAAAAATACAGCAAACACCAACACATCCATCAGGAAGAGAAAATCAATTTACAGCGAGAAGGTGTACGGGGCTCAGGAACTTGGTCACAGTATGGAGAAGCTGCATGGGGCCAGACAAAGGTATCTGATTTAGGATGAGGATGAGGAAGATGAGAAGATACAAACAGTTGGAGAGGAGACTCTGTTCTTGAGAGAGAAGATGAGGAAGTATCAGAGGCTAAAAAGCGAAAGAAAGAGAATGATAAGGGCAGGAGGTGGGAGAGAAAAGGATCTACGAACAGGGTTTAATGGACTGGTGGATGCGAAAAATGGAAAGCATTTATTGCACCACTCAGTAAGATGGAAACGGTTTCTACATAAAATAAACATTGCATTTCTCTGGGAGTAACTTAAATATTAGTTATATGCAATCTTCTTCCATACAAAACCAGCTACAAAACCAAATTGAAGATTACATGTTTTTTTTTTTCCTATGTTACAATGCATACATTTGTAAAATGTTTTAAAGAGGAAATAAATACTGAAGTTTAAAACTCCACTACTATTGTTACTTCTTACAACAAGCTAAATCACTACATGATACACTGAATAAAGTTTGACTTTATAAAGTTTGAATGCCACTTACCTTAACCAAAATGGTCAACTACATCTCAATTGATTTTGCATTTTGTATATACACCTTTTCACAGAATTGAGTCTGTCTCGTTTCAAGGATTTAACAAAAATTTTTATCTTTATTTACTCCCCATTAGAAATATGAATATGTGCCACTGGTGTGAAGCATATGAAATGTGAAGCAAACTGTGAAGATATTTACCACACTTACTCAAAGCATTTGATATGGGCACCAGAATCAACAGCCTTTTAAGAAATCCAAAATGCACTGTTTTTTTGTTTGTTTGTTTTGTTTTTTACATATTTACATTTGAACTCTTTTTGAAGAGCTCTGTAATTAAATTTCTGCTAAATTGGTATAACCACCCAAAAGACGGTTTTATACTAATTTAGTTAACTGAATTTTAAAACCCTTAAAAAACAATACAAGTTGCAAGTACATACAGTTTTGCAGTAGCTTTTTTGCCCTGGTTTCATATTTCTCAGTTGGGAGAGATTGGACAGGGGAAGGGAATCATCATTTCCACAGGTGACAAGCAAAGGGAGAGGTGCAAGTTTTACGTGCACTTACGTATACACAAATGCACGTACAAGTTAGTTTTATGCTGTATAAAGGAGAAGGAGCATTCTGAGTGTAAGAGAATTTTCTCCATATTCTCCAGAACCTTCTCCATATATCCCCAATTAAGTACTGAAAACATCAGATCTCTGCCTTTCTGAACACTGGGGATATACAGAATTTGCATGAGCTCACTCAATCTGTTAAGCTTTAGACATTAATTAGAACATCTTGATAATCAACTTTAATTTTTGTTTGAAATGTTTTGGGCTGTTTTGATTGCCTGCCTATAATTTTCTCACTCAAACACTATACCAGTTTTCACCTGTTTGTTTCTTGCTGTATCATAACCCTATAATTTCCGCAAAGTTTTAAATAAACTTCCGAATTAAGAATTTAGCACAAAACTTGAGTTTCTAAACTAGACCTCTGATATAGAGTTTCTTTATGTGTTTATCGATACAATACAACAACCCATACCAGAATTTGAATATTGGTATATTCCACAGCATTTATTCAATTAGAATTCACACACACATACGACCACCTCTCTTCCATTCCTTCCCACCTCCCACCCCAGAGTTATCTTTTGAAAGAAAAATAAACTAAAAAGATGACCCTCCACATTTCCTTTTTTTCCTTCTTAGCATCAGAGATTTGTGTCAGCAATACAACTAAAAATCATAAGACAAACTAGTATGTTTGCAAAACCAGAATGTAAAAAGCCTGTTTCCATTGACTGAAAAACCTTAGTCTGGGGGCAAGCTTCTTGAAAAGCTCATAGCTCTGGTAATCACCTTTACATAACAAGTTCATCTTTATGTAAAAGCCCTGATGAACATACAGTCTTTAAAAAGCACCAACAGGGCACATACATAAAGGGACACCCTACAGGTGTTGAACGAAAGCTTAGCAGGAAAATATAAATCAAGGACTTTTTTCAAGGCATTAAAAAAGATCTGCATATGAGCTCCATACAATTCAGTTATGTTCTTAAAATGAAAAAGTGAGTTAGAGACCAGAATAGCAAACAATCACTGTTGGTTTCCTGTTATTTTATTCATTTTTATTCAAAGAATTGAAATGAAGACAGAAGAACATAAAGCTACTGTAGGGCCAGCAGGCCAAACTGTTACTACGCTATACTTTCTAGGCAGTATCTGCTTGCAAATCTTTGAAATCAGGTCACCAGACCCTTATCAAAATTGTTTGTCACAGTAGCAGAGTTCTTCCTATGTATTTGCATGATTACCAAAGTTTGTGAACATTTGATCCAGCTTCACATATGTATTTTTTTCTTACAGAGATGTAAGATAAAAAATTCTCTATTGCACAATTCTATTACTAAACAGAGATACACTACACACTTCATTGTATCCTGATTTATAGGTCAGTGTATTCTAATTCATTGGCTGGCAAGCTTTTCCATAAGCAATAGGCATTGAAATGTGATTAAGCAGAAAAGCACACCTGAGAGTGGCTAGGAAAAGCTCGCTATGGATCTGAAAAAAACACGGACAAAAAAACCCGCCATACCTATAAGGCAGGTAATGTTCTGCCAAGGTCTGTGGAACTAGCACCATCCCAATAATTCTTCGCCCAAGTTCCACAGAAAGCATGGCATGCAGCTACTGTGGCTGGCAGCTTGTCGTTTGTATGACTTTTAAGGCATATTAATTGGCATTCTGATAGCTGAATATATTAAAATGGCCAATAACATACTGCTCATACGTGTGGTCATGTAACAATGTTAGCTTTTAGGCACTGCACATATGAAACACTATTTTGCAGTACATGATTTGTAATAAATGGTTTTCCTTATAATGTCAAAGCTATTCATGTATAGTGAGCCAACCAACCTATGTAATTCTGTTTATATATATATGTATACATACACATAATTTAAATTCATTTAATTTTTAATGATATTTTGACATTTAATGTTTTCTTAAATTGTCTGGATTTGCATTAAGAAAAACGTATATGTAATGGATGGACAAGCATAGGTCTCTGGAGAAGAGGCGCATTGAGCATACTGAGTTTTATACAACAGCATACCACTAAGCTCAGCAAGATCCATCTCACAGACATTCTAATTTACAGATGAGGTGGGCAGCAGGTGCTGCAGAAAGAAAAAAGAATAAAGTCCCTATGTTGCAAAGGGGCTATTTCCATTCATTTCAGAAGAGTGAAAATGTTTTCACTGTAAATAATTCCATCTTGCAAAACAAGGCAAAAATACTTGATGCAAAGTCTAGCTGTGGACGGTCCATTTTATTTATTTTATTGTTCAAATGCGATTCCTACCTGTTTCAGGATCACTGAAATCTGGTAAGGTAATTGTATTAAGCTGCCGTCTATCAGCAATAGCTCTGTCTAAGAGGCTGCTCCCACGTCCGGAATCGCTGTAATCAAGTATAGAAATTGTATGCCATTAAAATATAAAATTATATACTGAGATACAAATTGTATGCTACCCTCCTCCCACAAAGATTCTTGCTAAAAATATGAACAAATTTAATACCAAGCACTGCTAACTACTCACAGAACATTAAGTCAGCTACATTAAATCAGAATTAGCTCTGCAAAACTGATTCTATATTTACTTCATCAATTCTAGTTTCATAATTAATACAACCAAGAAAGGAATACAGAATTTTAATTTATGACTAAGAGCTTTGGGAAAAATATTGGAACTTTAATTAAACTTTCATATAATATGAGGTAAAGTTATCAATTTAACACAAGATGACAGATATTTTCCCATGTTAAAGATAAACACTGAACGCCGAGTGCCTGATTATAGGCAAATTTGTTAAGAAGATGTTACAACAACATTTCACATAAAGAGACAACACTTTGATCTACTGTTTTTTTTGTCTTCATTTATTTTATTTTCTAAATATGCATGTTATTACCAAACACGGCTGTATCTCTTGTTCTGGCTTTATGCTAATGGTGTACTAGGACATTTTGAATACTTCAAAACAATCTGTTCCAGTGGTTTTCATGGATTGCTCTTGTGGACAAATACACTGAACTACCTCTTCAGTTGTAGCTCAGTAACTGTCTCTAAGGCTTCTTCTTGATGTACTTATTAGAAAAATAAGTGCCCCCCGGAACTACGATTAAAGACTCAGCAGAAGAGCAGGGACTGAAGAATGAGCTCTTCCTTACTCTTAAAATGAGGCCAGTATTGCAACACACTGATAGAAGAATGTGAGGAAGAACATATGGATGCTCCATCTTTACTTGTTATCAATGAATTATAGAACAACTCAGCAAAGTGGGAATTTTTGTCTGATTTTCGTCTTATGCCAGTAAGAAAAAAAAAAACTCCACAAAACTCCTATCTTAAAGCAAAGCCTCTGCAAGACTGGAACCCAACACCTCTTTGGGTCTGCCCTGATTTAACGTTGCTGCCTTCCTCTGAAATGGACCTTACAGAAAGGCCAAGAGACTTTCAGCAACTGTTTGCATTTCCATACTTCAGCAGAACAAATTCCTCTCTTTGCACAGCTGCTGCTAAAATGGCACAAATAAAAATCTGCAATACCCTAACATTATTGTGAGATTATGGTTTCCTCACAAAATGATGCCATTATGGAAATCCACAGGAAAGAGAAGGGAGCTTTCTGGGACACAAACTATCAGCTATAGTTATTACACTAGTTGGTGCCTATTTTCTGGCAACTGTTACATTAATTACTTGCTTAATCCACAGGCAATGACATGCCAAAAGTTGCTGACAAGGAGAGCAAAGCTTAGCGTAAATATCTTTTAAGCACAACACTGCATCATCGTCTGTTCCATTTACCTAACACAAACTACGAGCAGGAAAAGAACAGAACTATTTTCCAATGCACTTCAAGCAGTAGGCTGAAGAGGAACACTTCTGGTGTTATTTCTATTCCCTAGACCATTCAAGACTGCATCACAAAATAATTTCTAAATTCATATAGGCATTTAATGAGGAAAACATTTGTTTCTATAACAATATATTTTTGTCTTTGAGTAAACACAAAAAAACCCTGTTCTATGGAGCTGAAAAACAGCAAGGCAGTGTTGTATTAGCGCTTACTTCATGTGGTATATCTAGTTACTCATGAGTTATTTTCATTAGTAAAAGATTATGAGGACATTGAACTCAGCTGTATTCCACAAAAGCTGATTAGCTGCAAGAAGAAATATTTAACATCAAACAGAACTTATCAGAAAGTCAAATTTTTATCTCATCAGGAAAATGATATTTCAAAATTAGTTTCCAGTCTAAATCAGAATAGAAAGATATGTTTCAAATGAGAAAAGCTGTAGAGAATATTTAAGTCTTTGAACAACAACATTCTAAAAGTTTTCAAGTCATTTTAAAACTTTTAGAACGTATCCTCATGAACTTTAAGTTCTCCAATCATTTGCAGTGGAAAATCACTATTTTCAAGCAAGAAAAAGTGTGTTAAATTTTACAACGTCTGTAATTTCTGAGTTTTCAATATGGCCTTGCATTATTACTCTCTCGTACACCTGGAGTCCAGCTGGATGAACAGATCTTACCAATCAAATTTCAGTCACAGAGATGACTGTTATAATAAATTAGACTCCTTTAGGCCACCCGCTGCACCCTGTTTAAATGACACAATATTAAGTACTCGGCCATTAAATTTCACACGGACCATCCAAAAAAGGCTGTTGCCTGGTGTCTGTATTACAGTGCCCAGTATAACTGTGAATGTGTATAACTGTGAACCCAAAGCTCAAAAAACCTTTAACACTTAAGTGAGGGAAAAAAAAATGCACGGCATTCTGATATTGTGTTTAAAAACAAACAAAAACAACAAACAAAAGGCCTATTGAACCAAACTATCCAAACCATTAGGTCAGAAAAGAAATACTCTTATAGGTCCTTGCTGCTACTTCAGTGATTTAGAGTTGCAACAAATTCTGCCTGGACCTTTCCAGCCCCAAGGTACTTGCTTTCCTTCATCTCTGAACCCCGTTCCTGTGTCCACACTGCAGTGCCAGAGTCTCTCTGAAGGAGGGATGACCAGTTTGGGTCCCTTTCCAGATACCTCCTGCCATGCTCTCCAAATATTTCAGCTCTGCATTGTTCACTAGCTCCTTAAGGGAAGGAGCGGTTTTCATTCTCCACTCACAATTCATTGAAAGTTCTTAAAGGAAGTTGGTAATTGCATACATACATAAGTATTTATATAAGCAAGAACAAATCTGAACAAAACAAAACAGATTATGTTCATCACAACGTTAAAAAGCTAGCTGGTGCTAGCTGGTACAAGTTGCTTCTCCTGGAGCATCTCTTCTCCAGGAAAAGCAGCTGCCAAACCTCTGAACAACCAGAAGGCAAAAGATTCTTCCTATCCCCTTCTGCAAGTGCTTCATAAACACCTGTACATCACAGGTACCAGCACAGCTGCTGGCTTTCCTCCTGTATGAGAAATCGTTATTTACTCCTATCCTTTCCTGTTTTTTAGCTGAATATTTACTCATATTTTCATAATCACACTTTCATTTTACAGCTTATCTAAACCTGTATCAGAAAGGACCTTCACAGAAGACTTTCTGAAAGCCAAACAGAACTATTTCAGCTTGCTGTGTACTTATTGATCCCTTTGACAGGCTGAAATAGGTTTACAAGCAGGACCTCCCTTTACAAAAGCCATGCTGACTTTACAAACCTGTCAGGCATTCACGTGACCTCTAATTCTGTTGTTTCTATATTGTTAATGAAGTGAATCACTGAAAACCCTTCAACTAAATTTACACTACAGCAATCTCTCCACTAGTAAGGATACCTCAGATCAGGGGAAACACTAGTAAATCAGGGCAATACTAGTTAAAATGAACAGGCAGAGTTACTTTCTGCAATCACATCTCCTTACAGCAGAGCTCATTAGCTTTGGTGCACCTAAACTTCATAAAACACAGGGTGGTTCCTTCATATTCATCAACTTTTTGCCCTTTGGCCTCCAGTTCCCCAGATTCGCAGAGGTTGTTCGTAGGAAATACCAGAACAAGTAAAAGCACGACAGCAGACCTAATATTATCCTCGGACTGAGCAACCAACTCATCGGTTTTGCAGTACAGAATTCTACAGCACCTTACCTTGGGTTAGTGAGATTATAGCAGGATTTCCAAATCTGAAGCATGTGTTTACACGTAAGGAGTGCTTCATCTGGGCCTCTGCACAGGGATTCCAATTTGACTTTTGTGAACAGCAATCTAGTGAAAAGGCAAAGGGAATCAAAGGAGAAAGAAAAGATTCAGATTCAAGCAAAACATATTTTCAATGAAACCTGACATTTGACCCAACTGAGGAAAACATAACAGAATTAATTTAAATGCTTCATGAAGTAACAGCAATATAATCAAGTATCTAATGCTGTCATCAAAATAATAGGATTTATTACAAGATGGCCTTTCAACTGGACAGAAACATTCACTCACAAGAAAGTTTGAAGAAGCCAGAACAAGATAGTGCGAGGTAATGAAATTTAGTCTTTGTTAAGGAAAATCTATGAAAAAAAGAATGGCTGAACATACCTGGCTCAACATAATAGTTATTTAACACACAAGTCAGGAAGGAAACAACTCGGTATTGATGCATACCATTTGCTTACATATAAACTTCTTTATCATCAACTCCTATTATAGGAGATGGAAGAGGCTATAGTGAAAAAAAGATTCCACTAGACCATACAGACTTATGGGAAGTAATTAGTATTAGTAAGGTCAACAACAACAACAAAACTAAATAAATAAATATTAAAAAGAGAAATCTAGCTGCACTCTCTTTTTATGCTGCCACCAGAAGGCACAAATTTGATGTTTGACTTGAATTTTGAACATTTCGGTTTCTTCAAAATGATGACTCAAAGAAAGAGCATCATTCATTGAACACACAAGCTATTCAACAATGTTTTCTGGAAGCCAGCATAAACTAATTCTGCTTTCAAAGTTTATTTTTCTAGTGGCAGCAACACAAATCTAGCCTTACTAGAAGATGGCTGTATATTCCTTCTATCAGTAGATGGTTCTGCAGACAGGAACCTTAGATACAAACTTTCCTGGATAATTAAATAATATAAATGGAACAAGACAATGAAAAAGCTAGTCAACTGCTGATACTAGTCACAGCATCTGGGAACTGATAATAGACCAGGAAAAAACACTAATAGAAAAGCAATTTTTAGTAAATTGCAGGACTACAGCGCACAAGGCAGGAAGAAAGGATGCAAACAAAACCGTTAGCCTAGTTTCCATTTTTAAACCCAGGTGTACTTTGGCATTTTAGTCCAGTACAACTGTAATCATTCTAAGTGAAAAATTTATATGATTGGTCATACAGCTTGTGTGGGAAGCCTGAGAAGCAGCGAGAGGGCGGGCATGTGCGGAGGCTCAGAACTTCTCATCTCCAATGCAAACTCCAAGGCTGCTAATAGGAACTGCAAACTGCCAGAGGGCTGTCTCAGGAGTGAGAAATGACAGCAAGGGCTTCAGCAAGTTACAGCTAAAGCCTTACTGTTGCGCTGAACCTCCAGTGTAGAAACTCCCCAGCATATAAATCTAACAAAATGAATTATGTTACCTTAAGTCTGCAATCCATGTGTCAGAGGGACTGGGGAGAAATGGTAATGTGGGACACTGAATTAGTCTAAGAGAAGGAGAACTGCAGATAGGCTAAGTAAATAAGACCATATGGAGTCTCACCTGGTATGTTGTACCAGAACAGAGTAATTAGTCACACTGGCTTAGCTTTCTTCCTATTAGTAATTCTGATTTCAGAGTTTAGGGAACTACACAGATCACCCAGCTATGTTCCACTTGGCAGACTACTCCTCTCTAGATATTCATTTAACTAGGACTGTAACACCTACAAGAAGAAAATGTCCATGTCCGTCATGCTAATCGAAAGAGAAGACAAAAGAGAATAATCTCCTCTTCCCTTCGCAGTAACACATTTATTCTATTGTTCCAAACACAAAGCCAGACCTGGTGAGTAGGAGAAGAAAGAATTTGATTACTAAGAAATTACTTAAATACATGTATACAAAATAACGGGGGCAACAAAATGGACACTGAAAATGGGGAACCTAGGACAACTAGTGCAGGATTTGAGTGAAAGGTAACAAGAAACATACACACTCATAAGGATTTAAAACAGAACTTCAAAAATGGATGCTTTTTGTTGCACTTGGTACATTCTACATCATCCCCATTTCTTACACATTATGGCAACTGAGCAGACTTATAGCAGGGTTACATGTGTCCCAAAGCACAAACAATACATTGAAATAGGATGAGCAAGTGTTCAGAATTCTACTAAGGCAAGGCTGAAGCAGGCAGCCCAGGAACAAGTATTAAGAGGAAGTTTTTTCCACTGAGTTCTATCATCTGTATTATTGACACAGCTAATTTTAAGCTTAAAGAGGACAACCATGGTAATTCTCACACCAGTCTCTAACATGCAGAAAATGTGGTGAGGAATGGATAGAAAACTAACAAGAGATAGGATGATGCAAAATGAAGCAGTGCATGTAATAACAGTATCATAAGGTATCTGGTTGTGCCTGACTGGGAGAGCCAGATGTTTAAGTTACCAGCAAGCAAGACATTGTGGAGCAACTGAGCGGCCCTCCTGGCTAAAAAAAAAAAAAAAAAAAAAAATAGTGAAACACTGTCTGCTAAGGGTTTGTCAAACTGGAATAAATGTAACAAATTATCAGAAGAAAAATCTGTTTAGAACAAATACTTTGGGAAAGGGAATAGGTAAAAGAGATTCTCTTATTAACACTAGACTAGTGGGACATCTGCTCCAGTGTCAGCATTTGATATGGATGCACATTTTGCAGTAAAAGTAAACAAAATTGTGTAATTTTAGGAGACTAATTACCCAGGCACAAAACAGAACAAAATATACCCTTAAGCAAAGGAGCCTGGTTACTCTTGGAGCTAATAGCTGGTAAATTTATGAATACTTACTGGAGCAGCAAATGACTCGATTATTTTAAGACTGTTCTGACTAAGTAATGAGGATGATATAAAATAGCTGCTTACAATCTTACCTATTAGTGAATTTCTACTTAAAAGGCTGAAAAACTCTAAATGGATGTTAACTAGGTCTCCAAATTTCAATAGGCTACACTGAAATCACGTGAAAGCGAACGTTAGCAAAAACATATAGAGGGAACCTGGCATTTAATACAAAGATGCAAAAACTTCAGGGAATCCCTAGCTCCAATTGAAGGGGTAAATCTTGGTGATTGAAAAGCCAGTTGTCATTAACCTTGCACAAATAAGATTTCAGAAAGCAGCAGTGATCCCATTAAGCCCAGGGGCAGACAAGGAAGAGGTAGAGGAGAGAGAAGTATCAGCACAGAAAGCTGCCTCTCAGATACATGCAGTAAAAAAATAAAACTAAACTAGACACTAAAAAACATATTTTAAAAAAATGCAGTCTTGAAAAGCCTTTTTGTACCTTATTAAGAGAAAAAAGAAATGCTGCTATTATAGGAGGAGGATGATACGAAGATTACATGTAGTTTTTAACCAACCTCCAGACTTCACCATTACCCTAATCTATTTGTCTCATACATGAAAACAAAGACAAATGGAGAAAGGGAATGCATTAAAAGTGAAGAAAACTAATACAATCAAAAATAATTAATTCCTCAGAATTATGGAAAGACACACATAACTGCAAGTAAATACTTCAAAGAACACATAAGTATTGCAGAACTGTACCCTTACAGACCACAAATACAAACTCAATAGCATATATATATAGTACAATAATGAAACAGTAATAAATTGTAATAGAAAAGTGGGTTATATGCTATAACCCACCCAGTTTAACTGAGAGCAGCTACTGCAGACCCAAACAGTCCACTAGCCAGGTTCATCAAGGTGAGGCAGCTGAGAAGAGGCAAATATAACTCTGGAATGCATTAGTTGAAGAAGAAAAGAGAAAAATCATGCCATTGTACAATGCCCTGGTGAGACCACATCTGGAACGCTGTGCATAATTCTCATTGCAACAGATAAAAGCCAATTCACAGACACACAAAAAAAGGAATTTCAAATTGGAGCAGCTGCAGAGAAAGGCTGTAAGAGTGACCAGCTGACAGGAGACTGCAGAGTACTAAAAACCACTCAATTTATTCAGTGTAGCAAAGCAAAAACCAAAAAGGTACAATTCCTATCTATAAACACAGATGGGGCAAGCACTGTGAAAAGATAATAGTTTCTCTAAGGGACAATCTTTGCACAAAAGCTATTAGATGTAAAGCTACAAGTACTATTAAAGACTATTAAAATATTATGATGGGAAATTAGAAGTCTGTTAACATTATAAACGAAGCTATAAGAGCCTGTTTCCTCACAGCTTCTTTTGGATAAGCTGCAGAAAAGGAGGGGCAAATAACTAAGCTAACTGCTAAGCTAATAAAAAGGACTATAGGATAAGATATTTCTAAGAGACTTTTCCTTGCTAAGTTATGGATACTTTTCCTTACTAAGTTAGGATCAAAGAATTTCTTTTGCTGGTCACACATACTTCCTCAGTTACTCAGTATCTGGCAGAGAAGCTTTGACTTCATTATGAGCACAATAGATATTTGCACTTTGTTTCCTGTAATTAATCCTGAGATTCGTGGTCAGTATATACTTGTCTATGGAGCTCATCCAGGGGAAACAAAAGTATATTTTTCAAAGCTTTTTGGTATCTACTTACACACTCATGGTAAAACCTTGGAAATCCACTGCACACCAACAGAAACCAGCATTTATTTTGAAAAATCATAGTCTTATCTAAAAACTAAAGCCACTTCCAGTGGCCAAATTTTGTTCAGTTTGCTGATAGCTGCTGGAGGAAGCAAGAGTCGAGTCTCGAAACAACATTGTCCTCTTTCAGCCAGCCTATTTCACTTGAAGTAAAATACTCAGATGCTTTAGCCACCAAAGCCCTTCCATAGCACATTTATCAGGTCAAGAGATTAAGAGGAGTCAATTTCTTCAAAACTAACATAAGTGACAAAGGGTATTTCTATTCTGGAGAATGAAGCCAAAATTCAAGGTAGTGAAGACAGATCTCTTGGGTGACAAATTGCACCGTAACCCGTTGCATGGAGACACTTTCTGATGAACAAGCATGACAAATCTTGGGTGTCATTTTAAAATCAGATTTAAAAATGTGTTTTGCTGTGCTCTGCACTGAATCATCT